TCCAATTTAAGTTTGGAGATCGTTGGCGAGAAATGGTGAGCTTTGAACGAGCATAATTTGACAATCAAATTTCAGTTTAAACAGAAAATGAATGAAAGAACCCCCGGCGTCTTTGTGCTTTCAGCGGCTGTCAAAAAAACTGCTGTAAAGTTGGATTTTTTATTTGATATTCAACATATTCAACACTTTCAAAAAATCTATTCAGCCTCTCGACCTTTTGAATAAAGTGTATGCCTAGTCTTTCCACGCACATGAGACACTCTTTCTCAATCTCTCTCTCTAAATGTGGATCTCCCCGAGGTTTCTCACTTTTTTTTCCATTGGGTTTTTGTGAGTTTTTCTTTTGCGATGCAGGAGGGTCTGTTGGACAGTTAGTGTCTAACAAGAAGGACTGTGGTGATGATCCAGGACACTTTAACATTCTACAACATTTATGGACATTACTTAACTTTCATGGACACTGATCTTTCCCTATGGACCAACACTTATGTGTTCTATATTTTTTGTGTCTTATCCGTTGACAGAGTTTTTTCTGTTATAGGGCCAAAGTTGTGGAACTCTTTACCTTTACCTTTACCTTACCTCATTAGAACTGCACAATCACTCGAGCACTTTAAATCCCAGCTTAAGACGCTCCTTTTCTCCTTTGCTTTTAATACCAAGTAAAAGATACAAGTTTTCGGTTTTTAATTATTATTTTAATTTTTTGTATGTGTATATATTTCTGTAGTTTATGTGTTTTTATTGAATTTCTACCATTTTTTAATGATTTTTATATGCATTTTTGCTTTGTAATCTTCACAAAAATCATAAAAACCCTTGTATATGTGTGATTTTGAAAACAAAAGCTTATATTGAAAAAACAGCTTTGTCTCATGTGTGAAGGAACTTTAGCCATACACTGTTTTGAATTAAAAAGGTTGAGGGGCTATAGATTTATCAAATGTGTCGAAAATCAAATATAAAACTAACTTCCCTGCAGTGTCAAACAACCCTCTTCTCCTCTTTCTCCTCTGTTTTCCAACCACGTAGAGCCCATTCTCATCTAACTTTAGCGAAGCTCTTTCACGGCAGAACAACACAACCCAGAGGAGGCCCGGCATAAAAAGACAGTTCATTATTAAAAGAATATCGGTCCACACAAAGGTACACAACGCTGGGATTGTGCTGGAGGACTGCAGGGGCTGTCGGGGAGCAGAGGTTAATGCCACGATCCAAGGGTAGATTTGTCTCATTGTTTGTAGATTGAAAGGGCGCTTCCAGGGGAACAGTTTCATGTCTGCTCACTGCTCCCCTTCCAGCTCGTTGCAACATGGCCCAGTCTGATTAATCTTAATGAATTATGCAAATATCCTTTATCTCAAATGATTTAGCAATGTTTCTGTATTGTTTTATTAATGCACTTTTGAATCACTTTGTATAATCCCGTAGCCCTTTCTCACTCCTTCGCTGTTTGAAATTCATGGACGGCTCTTTATTAAATCGGTGGTGGTCTCCGGCGGATTGCGTGTAGGAATGAGGAATTAGTCATTACTGTAATTTAATGATTTCAAGGCAAACAAGAGGCAACCTGCAGCTGCACAGTCCTACAGCCTTCAGCGCCTCTCTCTCTCTCGCTCTCCTGGGTCTGACTTCTGAACATGAACCTTGACATTATTGCTTAATTAATGAATGGATTTGACACATACAGAAATGAATGCATGCACTGTGAAATTTTACCTCTTCAAATCTAGAAGAGCATATGACAGCTTTTTGTTGTTTTTTGTCTTTTTTTCTGGTGGAATTAAGGTTAAGAGGTCAGAGAAGAGGAATGATTAGTACACAGCGCTGGATAAGTTAACAATAACTCTATGCTGAAATAAAATATAGTCTCTAGCTTATTAGGAAGCAAATTTAAAATCTCCAACTTTAGCACAATGAAGAAGCAAGAAGTACAACATCTGTGACCTTAGAATAGAGAAAGACAGCTACACTACAATGATTTCACTAAATAAAAGTCTGTTGTTCTCATGCTATAGTTGGAGCTAGGTTCTGGCTACATTTGTCATTTACCACCAGAACTAATACCGGAATGTGCAATATAGAACCACATTTGTCACTGTAACTTTACTGAGTGACTTTGCCCCAGACCCTCATGCTGCAAACATGTAAAGATTTATACAAACTATGTATTTGTGTACAAGAATATACAGTATTTCAATCTTCTTTATTGTGCTAAAGTTAGAGATGTTATACGTTCTGTTACGATCTTATATATACGGCATCTTATTAATAAGGCATCAGTTTTATATAGCACTTTTCAGGACACACGCTTCTGATGTCATTATTCTTTCACTCAATGCCCGGTGGTGATGAACTACGACTGTAGCCACAGCTTCCCTGGGGCACACTGACCAAAGCGAGGCAATCAGTATGTGCCATCAGCCCCTCCGACCACCACCAACCACAGTCTGACACTCTACAGCCGCCCCGCTGTGGCACCTTGTGTTCCCAGAGGTCTCCCATCATGGTACAAACCAGGCCCTGCACAGCTTCAGAGTTATAGATTTTAGACTTTCTTCTTACTATTTGAAAGCGAGTGCTCAGACAGATTTGTGTGGTGTTTTTGAGAGTAAAGATAAAGGGGGGATGAGCTTTTCCTTTCAGAACACATTTTTGTTAATTGGCTTTTTGGTTGACTCCCAGTTGTGTTTCACACTTTATCACTCATACAGGTATCTGAGCTCGTGAAACTGCAGCGCACGTAGCATACATGTGAAAACATTGTCTATTTAGTATTTCCTCACTTCAGACGCAGAGCTGCATGTTTGGATCAGAGAATTGTTAGTGTGTTATTAACAGTCTCCCTGCTCACTGTGGAGGTGTTTGGGTAATCAAAGCGACACCCAAAAAGGCTGTTGGTGAGACAGTAGTTTAGATAGGTTCACATTCAGGATAGCCCGATCGTATCATACCATATTCATTTCCTACATAGGTCTGAATTTGCTCCATTGAGCTCTCTTAACAGGTGTGAGGGGTTAACTCCTTTTGCAGATTAAAACAATTGGATCTGAGTTTACCGTGACGTAAAAAGCGCCCGAGTGAGTGAGTTAGCATTTAGCCGCCTAGCTTTAGCAATCTCCTTAGCCACTAACGGAGCCTGTGGGGAGTAGAGCCACAACATATTTGCCAGCAATGAAATCTGCTAAACATACTTCTTGCTCCGACTTCCATATCTTGATACACGGGAGCCAAACTAGAACTGTCATGGTTTAGATTTAGATTTATTTCCTGTTTTATTTAGTAACTGGATACCCCCTGTGTCTTAAGAGCTTCCTTTACTATCGCATTCGGCGCCATTGCCAAACTACGACCAGCAAATTCGACACAAACTCCCGACGTCACGGCACCTACCTGCCCCGCTCGATAATGGTTATTTTGAGTTTGTAAAAACACTTTTCTAACAATATTTGTATTTGAAAATGAAAGACAGTGGTGATGATCCAGGACGCTCGACATTCAATGGACTTTATCAACATTTATGGACATTGGTCAACGTTTTATCATTCCTGTGTTTTAACTGTTTATTTCTCTGATCCGTGTTTGCGAATCAACTTTTTTCTTATCAACTCCTTTGTAATAACTAATGTTGTGAGTGAGGACTATACAAAAAAAACGTTGAACTGTATTGAGAGAGTGGCGCTGATACAGTATTGTGCGACGGTGAATGGCAACGAAGCCACAGCTCAGGGTAGAGTCATACCGTTTGGAAATGTATCAAGAGGGATTTTGGTTGTTTAAGGAAGCCAGCTAATTATCAGCGTCTCCACAGACCAGATTTCAGACGGCTTTGTACATTTTAGGGAACACCGCAGGGACCTTCTCCTTTTTTGTCTTGTTCAAACACAACCTATTTCTGCGTCTGCTGATGTCATGCTTTTCCTCTGTCATTACCGCAGCCTCTATTAGAACTATAGCTATAGGCTTTTTGTGGGATTTTTGTCAAATGACTTGCTTGACCTGCACTTTTAAAACTCCCGGTCCCCTGAGTTGCATTGCAGGGGCAGAAAACAAAAGGAAAAACCAACAATGTGTGTGTGCGTCTTGTTTTCCATTTAATTAGATTTATTGATATAATATCGACATTTGTCATCAATGGTCATCACTAATAATTGAAAACAAGAAGTATATTTTGGCAGATTTCAGCTGCTTTGACCATTAATGACTTCAAATAGTCTTACATTGTTTTGATATTACGAAAATATGACTTGGAGATTCTAACCAAACTAAAGCCAAACACTAGATTTAACTATTTTTATAAGCAATGCAAAGAAGTGATGAAACACAAGTCAAAAATTGCTCAAATTTAGCTAAATGCATATTCATTTCAGCACATTCTGACTTCCTTAAAACAACATTTGCCAACGGAATAAGTAAAAGTATCTTGTTTTTAGAGATACAACAAATGTCTCCCTTGGAATGAGATAATAAGACTAAATGACTTTGTAAATCTTGTTTTAAGACAGTCAGAATGTACTCAAATTAGGATAAAAACCACTCAATTCAAGCAATTTTTTCAACTTTGTATTTGATCATGTTTTCCCGTGTGAGGAAACAGAAAGAAAAGGTCTGCTCCATAAGGCATAAAGGAAAGAAATGCTCGTGATCTTTACTGGATCAACACATTATGCAGTTCCGAGTCCGAAGGCTCTTGTCAGCATGAGCAGAACACAAAAGATTCACATCACTAGATTGGTTGTAGAGGAGAAGAGAAATCTCCAGTCTGTTAAATATCTTCATTGTTCCATAGAGCTATAATACAAAGAGACATTTGGTCGGCAGTGCAGTCGGAATCCTCTCCCCCGTCTGCGTTTGTCCAGTGTGGAATGTCCAAGATTATTCCTCATTTGGTCCCATTAAGTTTTGAACCTCTCCTCCAAAAACATGTCATTATCCAAATGTCCTGCGGTGACGGCCAAAGAAGCAGGAGTCTCGTTCCAAAAAGTCCCCGACGCAGACGACTACCGCGTGACCTAAAAAGGAAAGAAGAAGAAAAATGAGTTTTCTGGACACAAGAATATGTCAGTGGTCCAAGTGTGCTGAGCGTGAAGAGGAGACGGCTCATTAAAGTGGTGGTAAAACTTCATTCTGAGGCTTGGCACAATTTAGTCGACATTATCAGGTCAAGATGATTATTTTCTAACACATTTTTGTTGCTTGGTGTAAAAAATTAGGGAAATATGCCTTTTCAAGTTTTTGGAGAAAAAAAAAAATCTTTCTACTTGAATACTTCAGCCTTATTAATAGAGAGAGGGAACATGTTTTACAAAATACATTACATGATCGTGATGAGATTTTGCTTGCGATATAATTCCAAGGCAATGATGACAAAGGTGTTTTTACAAAGTCAGTGGGGTAAAAAACAAATAAACAAAGATGGGCTAATATTTTCTTTTCTCTTGAGGTTACAAGTAGATATTCAATATGTCTCCTTGAAACTTGTCTCTCTGTGTTCTATCCTGCTTTATTGTCGGCCGATACAAAGTTATTCCAGAAATTCATATAAAAACACTTTTACAAATCAAGTATTTCATTAATTGTAGATTGAGACAGATCTTTTGAATGTGCTGCCGTTAGTAAGACCTAAGTCATAATAAGTTGTTATATTTTTACAGTTTTTTTCTAACTGTATGTCTTACTGCAGTGCATTGTTCATGGTTTTACATTGATCCAGACCAGAGCAGAGAAGATGGTCCCAACCAAGCAGATCAAGCAGAAACCCAATGGAGGAATGCTAATTTCATTTTGATAAAGGCTAAGAAAGCTTTCAGAATTTCACTCTGAACCAGAGCAGAGAAAATGGTCCAAACCTAACAGACTCTTTCCATCAACCAGAGGAAGCAGCTCATCACCAGCGGCTACACCACCTCTGCTGCTGTGACCTAAAGGGCTGTTGTATTTTATTACTATTGTTAGTAACTTTGACTACAGGGGATCAATAAGGTATATACAGTATCTATCCGTCTATGCTCTATCTATGTATGAACGATACATAGATGTGTATGTATTGTTCCGTCCGTCCGTCTGTCTGTCTGTATCTATCTATCCATCTATCTATATATAAATAAATCTATCTAAAAGTTTCAAATGCGGCAGTTGCACTTTTAAGGGAAGCTACTGAGAATTAAAGAGTACAATCTATGTGTTTTGCCGGAGCCTTAATTACAGCGGCTTCTCTGCTCCCGATTCTTACTAATTCCAGCAAGGTGACATTCTGCGAGCACATTCTAAACATGCAATCAGAGCTGCGGAGATTCACGACCTCTCCAGCTGCTCCTGCTGGCCGCCGAATCAACAGCGAGTCATCGTTGGGAATATTTTACAATTGCAAACAACAAATCTGTCAAAGAAGTTTGTGTGTATTCCCAGTTGGCCAGTATTATGATTCAAACATCTGCGACAAAAGGAAGGAGCAGGGCCAGAAGTCGACATAATGCCATGTACAAGCGGCTCAGAGATTTCAGACGCGAATTATTATTCATGATGGCATGTGTTGGTTTAAGTATTCTCACATTCTCACACCACTCATGCATATGAATGGATCTGATTGATGGATTCAGCTTGTGCTACAGTCTCTTTAAAGCCAAGGGACTTTTAAGCCAATTTCATTTAATCTATCCACTATGTTTTCTATCCACAGTAATATCAGTAACTTTTGGCACAAACATGTAAGTCTGCCCCTTCCGTCTAAAGCATGTGCAAGATGGCGGACGCATTTGTTTGGAGCCTTTTTTGAACTGCACACTTTTTGGATTTATTTTTTAAACTAAGCTTTTATTACTGTTTTTATTCGTAACAACTGATGGATTAAGCGGATTTTAACAGGTTGTGCCACAACAGGATTACTGTCACTTTTAACTGGACTGTATATCAGCCTTTTAACAGTTACCGCGGTAACCAGCCTGCCCACATACGCCACCATGGACACCGCTGCTCCCCCCGAGAACTCATACAGACAAATCTACAAATCACAACTTGCTTCAATTCTTCCATCCAAACCAGTAAACGCAATGACCCCCGAGGAACTTCAACGCAGTGTTACACAACTATCCACTGAACTCATACATAAAGAGAAACTTCTGGAACATTTCATGGACATCTCATTCAAGCAGTCACAGCAAATATCCCTCTCCGTACTTAGACATTCACAGCTCGCTACCACACTCCACGACACTGCTCTTTGGGACCCCATCACCTGTCCTCACCCCTCATCATGCTCTACCCCGGTCCTCACCTCACGTTCCCCGGTTGCGGCTGTTCCTCCTGTCCCACCCGGTGCTCGTCCCTCCTCTACGGTCCCGGAGCCTGCTGCCCAAACCCAGAGCGGCGCGGAGCAGAAGCCTGGAGACCACAGAACGTCCACAGTGTCCTCACGTCGCAGGTTGGTGGAGGAGGCTGTGCGCAGACGCTCGGGGAGCGTCCCACGCTCTAAAACAGCGCGGGGCTCCCCGGGTGTCACGCAGGACCAACTGCGGGAAGCCCCGGGGGGATCTCTGTGCCCTAACGTGGCGCAGAATACCTCCGGGAGCGCTGTCCCTGCTGTGGGAGGGTTCGTGTGCTCTGACGCGGAAGGAATCCCCAGAGGCGCTGCACAGAGCAGGTCCTATGCTGAGGTGGCCGCGGGGGGGTCTCTGCGCTACATCACGGCGCAGAGTCCTCCCGTGGACGCTACCTCGCCCGCGGGGGGGTGTCTGCGCTCCATTACGGCGCGGACTCTTCCCGTGGACGCTGCCTCACTCGCGGGGGGGTCTCTGCGCTGTTGCACGGCGAGGAGTTCCCCCGCAGATGCCACCTCGCCTCCTGGTGGATCCCCCCGCCCGGTGCGCGGCCCTCCCACATTCGCCCACACTACCACCACCACCAACCCGGCCACAGTGGAGTCAGTTCGGTCTCCGGATCCTCCACCCTGCTCCACAGCCGCTCGTGGCGGCTCCGCTCCGGGCACCCCCCAAGGCTCTCCTGTCCCCTGCTCTCCACCAGGTCCCACCCCAGTCACACCCTCCCCTCCGCGGCCTCTGTTTGCACCAACCACGCTCCTGGTGGGGGATTCTATTATCAGACACTGCAAGTTTTTTAATGCCATCACACACTGTTTTTCTGGAGCCACAGTCCCCACCATCCTCATTAAACTACCCTCACTTATTCAGACAGCACCCTCCACAATAACCCGGATCATAATTCATGTCGGCACAAATGACGCTTCACTCCGCCAATCCGAGACCACAAAACGCCATTTTAAGGATCTTTTTAACCTTTTATCAAACTCAGGGAAAACTGTTTTTATCTCCGGTCCTCTGCCCACTATGAACCGCGGCAGGGAGCGTTTTAGCAGGATTTTATCACTCAACACCTGGCTCAATCAAACATCACTCCATCACAACTTTGGTTTTATAGACAATTTTAATCTGTTCTGGAACCGCTACCCCTTCTTCACACCCGACGGACTTCACATCAACCCACTTGGCAACCGGTACCTGATCTCCAACATCACCCACGCAGTCCAATCCCATCCTACATACCTCTGACAACCCACCCCCACATCCCACATCCCTCCTGCCCGTCTATGCCCCAGCATCAACCCCTGCTCTCTTCCCCAGCACAAAATTACAGTTTTGTCCAGACCCCGCCCCTACAGACCGTCCATACCCAGGAAACCGTCCTTCACCAACCTCATCACTGTTTCCCCCTGCCCTCTCTCATCCTCTGCTCCCCCCACTTCGAACTATGGACTCCCCATCAACAATAACAACCCATCTACCATCAGGTTTGCCCTTTTAAATGTACGCTCCCTTTTAAATAAGACTTTTACTGTTAATGATTTGATTTTAGAACACGAGCTGGATGGTATGTTTTTAACTGAGACCTGGCTGGGTCCGGATGCTCCGGCTGTTCTTACAGAGGCCTCCCCCCCCAATTTTAACTTTGCTTTTAAAACAAGAGAAGGAAAGAGAGGTGGCGGCACAGCCTCAATATGCAGTAACACCCTGGCCACCAAACCTATTGTTTTTAACCAATACTCAAGTTTTGAGTATCACTCTCTTGTTTTTAGCAACCCCAAAATTTTAACAGTAATTATTTATAGGCCACCTAAAAAGTGCAGCCTTTTTATTATTGAATTCTCAGCGTTTTTATCACAGTTACACAATTCTTACAATATGATAATTTTAACCGGTGATTTTAACATACACATTGACAATCCCTCTGACAATTTTACCCTAGATTTCTTAGATGTTCTTAATTACATGGATTTTACCCAACACGTCAGACAGCCAACACACAACAGGGGACGCACCCTCGACCTGGTCATTACCTATGGCCTGACTGCGGATGTGTCCTCTGTTGTCGACTTGGCTGTCTCGGACCACTACTGTGTGTTTTTTAACATCACTGGTTTTATACAGCGTGAGACCTCTGTGAGAACCGTGAGGAAGCGACATCTAACCCCTGAAGTGGCTGCAAATTTTATCGACATCCTAAACAACACTCCCCACTTGGTTTTACCTGCCCCCTGTGATTTTATAGCAAATGATTTTAACAGTAGACTTAGTTCTGCGTTGGATCAGGTGGCTCCTTTAAAAACAAAAATCATAAAAACAAAATCTGCACCCCCATGGAGAAATGAAGAAGTACGCAAAATGAAACAAGAGTGCAGGGTGGCAGAACGAAGATGGAGGAAAAATAAAACAACAATCAACTACGAAATATATAAAAACAATCAAAAAGCATACAATTACACAATTAGAAATCATAAGAACAAATACTTTGCAAATCTAATCAGCCAGAACAAAAATAATCCAAAAATCCTTTTTTCAACCATCGACACCATTTTAAACCCTGATTTTAGCATGTCTCTTTTAACCCCCACAGACTCCCTCTGTGAGGATTTTGCAGTCCACTTCACGGGGAAGATAAATACAATCAGATGTAACATTTTATCCAACCGCACTACTGTTTTTAACACATCTGATTGTTT